TCAATCAATCAATCAATCAATCAATCAATCAATCAATCAATCAATCAATCAATCATCAATCAATCAATCATCAATCAATCAATCAATCAATCAATCAATCAATCATCAATCAATCAATCAATCAATTAATCAATCAATCAATCAATCGATCAATCAATCGATCAATCAATAATCAATCAATCAATCGATCAATCAATCAATCAAGCATCAATCAGTCAATCAATCAATCAATCAGTCAATCAATCAATCAATCAATCACCCCCCGCACCCCTACCCACCCCCCAAACAAACAATTTTTTTTTCTTGTTTTTTACTTCGGGGGGTTAGCCCCTGGCATGCACCCCCCCCTGCAGACCCCCACCGGGAAGGCCGCCGAAACTGCTCGTACGACCGATGTACGGGTCGTACGGCCGCCTCGGGGCTTGTACGTACGGCCGTATGGGTCGTACAAACGCCCCGTATTCGTAAGGGGTGTTACACAGGTCAAAATTACAAACGCAAAACTGAACTTCATGGTTGCCCTAGCGCCGCCCACCGTCTTGCTATTAGTAAATTCCAAAACCTGTGGCGAAGTAATGCTTCGTTGGTCTTACTATTACTCCTTGAGAGAAATCTTATCAAGAAGCGAACTTCTACGAAGCAATTAAGAAATCTCCCAAAACCAAAATAGAGTTAATCATAACGTTGAGTTCCCCAAATTTGAGCTCTTCGTCGAATGAAATCCTTTCTTCCATCTACCCACTACTAATTCTTTATTCATAGCTAGTAACCTTTCGACTTCTGAATACCTTCATCGCCACCCTTCTTACTTAGTTCGAGTCGCCTCTCCTTGAGTCTTCACGGTCGGTCGAAGGCGATTGCTTTCTCCTTCGAACGAAATTCCAAAGACCGTCTTTACCTCCGCCTAACAATAAATATTACTTTGGTTCCCTAGTTTCTACCTTCGACGGGTTTCACACCTACCCCTCTTGTTTGCTTCGTTGGAGATTATGCGAGCACCCCAACACATGCCACATTTTTGCCCGTCACTCTTCAGACAATTCGAAGCCTTCTTTGCTGCCTAGATTCCAAACCTGAACTTAAGCTCGAGAAATCATCCTACTGTCGACACATACTCGAATTGTCACTCACTTGGAATCATTCACACCACTAGCGCCTCCTACCGAATAATCCTAGCTTCCTGAGTGAGCAAATTTTAAGCACCACCGGTCCGCCGTCCCAAGAATACTCTAAAGGCTCGATTAAGAGACCTCTATCTGCTTTAGACTTCAGTGTACTTTAAATGGCAAAGCGTCCCTTTCCCGACCCAAACCCAACTCGTTTCATTGTAAGCAAAAACATTTCCCAGACCTTTTCCGAATTCATTCCCATGTTTGCTGATCTGTCACGGCTTTAGTCAGAGGTTTGAGGAACTCCTCTATTTCTGTGACTCTTTGATCCCTCGGCTGTTTGCATTTCGATGTGAAGAGGGACTTATAAAAGTCCCTTGCTATTTTTGTGCATTCCGCCGTAGAAGTGACCAGAGAGGATTCATCTTCATTAGGGTCCAAGAACGCCTCTATAGTTGTGCGCCCAGTTTTTACCTTTGCTGTGGCGAAGAACCTCGCATCCATGACTCCTTCTATGTTATGACTCTTTAACTTTCATCTTATTCTGATCCCTTGCCATATATGTTCCATAAATGATAGTAGTTTATTTTCAAGTACGGTGATTTTTTTAGAGATGTCTATTTTCTGATCTTCACTATTTACCCCTTCTTCTTATTGCTGTAGTTGTAGAAGTTGTTTTTGTAGATCAATTTTTTCCATGTTTCACTGCATTGACAGCAATCTTGAATATTCATTGCATTTACAACCCAAGAACATTAGGCCGTTGTTGAACCAGCGTATATCATCCTTAATCTGATCTTTTTGTTCCCTCCAGAAGGACCAGACATCTTGAAGATATACTTTGAAGTTGTCAGTCTGCAGCAAGGAGGTGTTAAGTTTATAGAAGCCTCTTCCCTAATCTGGCTTCTTCCTGAAGGACAGCAAAACCACAATCATAGCATGATCTAGACCTGGAAAGACACTGCGAGGGAAGATCCCAGCTACTTGGAGAGCTCCCTCCAGTTCCTCCGATAATAAAATAAGGTCTATACGGGATTTGGATGCTTTCATTGTTTGACTTTTTCTGAAACATGTGTAAGTGCGTTTGGTGGGGGAGAGTCGTCTGTAGGCGTCGAAGAGATTGAGGGACTGACATGTTCTTTCTATAATTTCTTCATCCTTTTCTATATACGATGGGCATGGGGATGGAATCTGCCAGCGATCCAAATGTCTGTCTGGGCCTGCATTGAAATCCCCCGCCATCACCACTGGGATGCCCACCAGTAGCCGACCCTTTAGGGATTAAAAAAAAACGAACTCTTTCACTTACCTCGTTAGGAGCATACACACACGAAATAGTCACCACCTCTATTTCCAGCATGGCCAGAAGAAAAGCCCATCGTCCTTCCTCCTTGTCTACTTCCCAGTAGAGGGGGTCAGTCTTTGAGTCGGGAGGGAGCCAGATTGTTACCCCTGCACTGCCTGGTTTGGGGGCATGTGCCCTGAAGGCCTGATGTGGCCAGATCTGTTTGTGGATATGATTGTGATCAGCGTTATCCATTAGGTGAGTTTCTTGCACACAGATGACATCAAGTCATTCCTTTCCCCCAATACCTTTCAAATGTTCATATATTGCTTGTCTTTTAGTTTGTTTGACTGAAGCCAAGTCATTTACATTAAGCGACCTGAGGTCCAGGTCGGTTGCTCTTTTAAGGCTCTTCCAGTTTTTGTCCCTGTTGTACAGCACCTCTAATAAATTAGTACCATCCATGCTATCCTGTTTTTTTTTTTTTTTTTTTTTTTTTTTACAGAGATAACCAGTTGCCGGTGTCCAGCTTCCCGCCTTTTTCTAGTAAATTTTGGCTATTTTTGAGAAGACGTGAGAGTAGAACTGTGACATTGAATTCTGACCAGAAATCCCCCGCCTTTACCTTGAGCTGTTGTAACTCAGCCAACGTGTCATGAGAGAACCAGCGCAGGTTAATAGCTCGTGTATGTTCATACTTGAGAAAAACGTCCCTGGCTGAGATTCTCTGTGTATCAGTTGAAAGGATCAGCACCGCTGATCCTCCAGGGGGAAGTTGTTCTTCTCACTGGCAAGATCAGTACCCCTGGTTTGGACAAACCTGACTACGCATGTCCACCTGCCACCAGCAAGCGTAGCTTTTGTCTTCTACTAATCAGAGCACCTTCTGGTGGGAAAACAGGGGGCAGGGGGGGGAGGGGCAGGGAGCACTGTATCTGCAAAACCGGGGGCTGGGAGGGGAGGGGTTGAGAGCACTGTAACTGTCGCTTCTCTATTGTACTTGTCTCCTTTTTAGGAGAGGGGGGAGCCTGTTTTTCCCCTGCTCCCGGAATCTGATCTGGTTTGTCAAAGTTTACCTCCTCCTCAACCTGTTCCCCAGTTACACTGTTAGGGGATGTGGGTACCACCATTGTTGATGTATGGGGCTTTGGGGAAGTTGCCACCAGCAGTAATTGCCTTTGTTGATGTGTCTTATCTAGGTCCTGCAGTTCTTTAGTTAGTAGGAGGTATTTTTGCTCTCCAATCAATTCAGATACCATCTGTTTGAGATGGTATGTTACTTCTTTTGCGGTGCACAGCGAGGGGGACCGTCCTCTTCTGCTGGTTTCCAGTTTGT